CTGCTGTACTTCCCTTCCGCCTGCCGCCGCTCGCTTCACTAATGTTCTCTTTGCTACGGAACGCTGCCTGCCCTATCACGCTCGGCGTTCGACTCGTCTTCGCGCGCCCGCGGACCAACAAACAAATATATCCCCACCAGGCCATCCAACGACAGCCACCAGTCGAGTTGCCCTGATCAGGGATGTTTGGCAGGGGCCATCCTGGAGGAATCTCGGACCATTTCGCGCGTCCGATCCCCCTGGGGAATCTTGGAACGGATTTGCACCATTCCGATCAAATCCGTTCCGACATGAATTTCTTTTTTTTGGTCCTCGAGGGATTCGCCAGAAGCCACCTTTGGGTATCTCGCCCTGTCTCGGAGACCTTGGGGTGTCTTGGGGTTCTATTGGGGCCATGTTGGAGGCCTCTGGGGCTCTCTTGAGGCTATCTTGGGGCCATCTTGTTTTTTTTGGTGTCGCTCTTTGGTGGTATAACGGTTCTCTGAGGGCCATGTTGGCGGCCTGTTGGCCCCTCTTCGGGCTCTCTTGGGGCCGTCATGGGGCGCTCTGGCGGCCTTCTTGCGGCGTTATCAGGGCCCTCTTGGGCGTTCTTGGAACCTATTGGGCTTTTCTAGTGGCCCTTTTAGGGCCATGCAGGAGCCGTCTTCAGGCCTTCAAAGCCCATCAAAAATGAAACGGCGAGACGACAAACATCATGGAGTCCCCGCAGTTTTTCGATTATATTTTATATATATAGAGAGAGAGAGAGAGAGAGAGAGAGAGAGAGAGAGAGAGAGAGATACAGAGTTTTAAGCAGTTTCTGTTCAGGCCTCAGGGGACATCCCTGGGAGGGTCGGAGGGTACTTGGAGCCGGGCCTTGAGGGCTCTTGGATCCAGTGTGGAAGCTATCTTGAGCCCTGTGGGAATACATTGAGCGATCATGGAGCCCACCTTTGGGCTCTCTGGAGTTCTCCTGGAGCCATCTTGGGTCGCCTTGGGCGCTCTAGCGACACGCGAAACGCCCAGCCCAGGCCCGATGAGGGGTTGATAGGGGGTTGGGACACCCCTTCCCGAAGGAGAAAAAAGGTGGTTCGCAAAACGAGCCTTTTAGACCACTCGCGCCTAGAAGGCTGGTGGGATTCCCATGTCAAGGAACGTCGCAGGGAGGGGGAGGGGGGGTAAAAAGGGAAAGGGGGGAGGGGATAAGGCGGGGTGGTGAGGCTTGGAGGAGAAGGGATATGAGGACAGCAACGACAAGGAACAATAGGAATACGAGGAGAAAGAGGAGGAGGAGGAGGAGGAGGAGGAGGAGGAGGAGGAGGAGGAGGAGGAGGAGGAGGAGGAGGAGGAGGAGGAGAGGAGAGGAGGAGGAGGAGGAGGAGGAGGAGGAGGAGGAGACGGAGGAGGAGGAGGAGGAGGGGAAGGTGGTGGAGGAGGAGGAAGAAAAAAAAGACCTCCGCGACTGCCTCCATTGATTGCCTGTCTCGCCGTGCCAGCACTTTGAAGCCCGTCTGCGTGTGCATGCCAGGCGGCATCGAGCAGTCCGTCGTGTGTGGCATAGCCTCACCACGGGAGGGTTTTCTCGTGGGGCGGGGACCTGGAAAAAAAAACCTCCGCGACCGCATCACCAGGAGGGCCCTTCCAGCCAGCGCAGCCGACGCCTTTGCGCTCTCCAAGCTGACGCCGCTGCACAAGTCCAGCGGCGACGTGTGCCCAATAGCTGCCCCCGCCAACATGTTGCGCCGCCTGGTGGGGAAGGTGCTCGTGGCGCCGAGGAGGGGCGAGCTGGCGGCCGCGCTGGAATCGCGTCAATCCGCAATGGGAGCACAGGCGGGCGCAGAGTTGCTGGCGCGCTCCGTGCGGGCGCTCGCGGAGGCCAGCCCAGGTTGTGTCCTGGTGCGAGGGGTGCTTGGGCGAGCTGGCGTCCACGGCGCCGGACCTCCCCCTTTTGCGAGCTTGTTTTGCCGCCGACATTCCTATTTAACTGAACGCCCCTCAGGGGGCAGACGCCGCCGCCCCACAATGTTTGGATCCTGGAGACTCTGTGGGAGCGGCGGCCGCTCCGCGCGCGAATAGGAGATGTTCTGGCGCTGGTGCTGGTGCTTCTGCTTGGAGGCCTCGTGGGGCTCATGGGGAGGATATTGGGCTTCCCGCTGGACGGCCGCAGGGAGGCTGGAGGAACTGAAAGCAGCGAGCTGTGTGTCGTGTGACCCTGAGGCCAGGACGGCCGCAGAGAGGCTGGAGGTATTGAAAAAACACCGTCGGGTTAGTCCCAGAAAGCGCGCCGAGGAGTGTCTTTCACATGACCTTGAGGCTTGGGCGGCCGCAGAGAGGCTGGAGAAACTCAAAAAAACCGTCGGGTTCGTTCCAGGGGGACCTCTGAAGGGGCCCAAAAAGGAGCCAGAATGGGGTGAACGATGAAAACAGGAAGGGGAAAATACAGTCGGGGTTTGTTTGCGGCTCCTTGAAGAGCCCCTGGAGGGTCTGAGGGGGCGCCCCAGATGCCTCTTGGGGGCCGTGTTGGGGCCGTGTTGGGGCCTCATGGGGGCCTCTTGGGTTTCCTTGGGGTGTTTGTTGGGGGCCCCTTGGGGCCTCTTGGGGGCCTCCTGCGGCTTCCTGGCCGCCTGTTGGGGCTGAAGGCTGGACTTTTCGGTTCCTGGCCCCCTTCTTGGGCCACTCTTGGGGTCGTTTTGGTGCCTTCATGGGCCGTCTTGGGGCCCTCTTGGGCTCTCTTGGGCCCATCATGGGGGCGTGTTGGGCCGTCTGGACGCTGTGAGCCCCCGCGATTTTTGCTTGTTGGGGCCTCTTGGAGAACCTCCTGGGACTCTCTTGGGTTTTTTTCGCAGCCTTTGGGGCTCTCTGGAGACCGTGTTGAGCGTCTTGGAAATATTTTTCGGCGACTCGAGGCCTCTTGGGGCGTGTAGGGGGCGCCCCCGCGCCCTCTCGGCGCGCTCCTGGAGCGCCCTGGGGGATTCGGCCGGGCATCGGCCAGGGTGCTTGTCGTCCAGGGGTCCCCAGGGGCCGCCACGTGCGCGCGAACTAGAGATATTGTTAACCTGTTACCAGAGATCTTAGCACGCCTCTGGCCTGTTGGGCCGGCACCAGCCACCGCGCGCCCTCGTCGGACGGCGTCGACCAGAGGGGCCCGCTGGCCCCACTTCTTTTCGCTTGCGGGGAACGGCCATGCTTGCAAGCGCCGCGAGAGGCATTGCAGGGGGCCGCGGTTGCCGCGGGGCTGCGCGCCGACGGCCTCCACGTCTTGTCTTGCCTGGACGACGTTGTCGTGCTTGCGCCCGCAGCCTTGGCCGGATAAGTCCACGCGGCCGCGCGGGTTGTCCTGGGGGGCCACGGGCCCGAGCTTCAGCCGCAGAAGACGTGCGCCTTGTCTGCGGGGGCGCCCTGCCCGCCAGGGCTGGAGGCGAGCTGGCGCCGGACGGCCTAACGCTGCTGGGCGTTCCGCTGGGCGAGCCGTTCCCGTTGGGCGGCGTGCCAGACGAGCGCGACGGGCGCTGGGTAGACTCGGGTTGCGCAGGCGACGTGGCGGCGCTCTGCGCAGAGACCGTTGCGAATGCGGCGGTGCTGCTGCAGAAACTCCCCCAAATGCCCGTGCTGGCGTTGCCCCGCCTCCCGGCGGCGCAAGCGGCGGGCCTTCTCCGGATGTGCGGCGCGGGCGAGCTCGCGCGCCAGCTCCGCTCCAGCCCGCCGGCCGGCCTCCCGGGCCGCTGCGGCCACTTGCGGCGAGGCCGTGTTCGAGGCGTGCCAGGAGTTCGCGCGCTTCGACCGTCCGCGGGCCGAGCAGAGGGCGCAGTGCCGCTTGGCCCTGCGGCTGGGCGGTCAAGGCCCTCGGAGCCAGGCCGCGCTGGCGCCGGCTGTTTGGGCGGCTTGTTGGGGGCAGAGCATGGCCGAGGCCCGGGCGCGCGCGGATTTGGCGGGGTCCGCCGACGGAGGCCCTGGCCACTGGCGGCCGGTAAGGTGGCCGAGCTGCTTCCTGGCGGGGAGGAGAAACGCTGGCCGCCGCCGCCGCCCTCGGCGCTGCTGGCGCAGGGACCTCGGCAGGGCCTCCTGAAGGCGCTCGCGCAAAGGCTTGACAAACAAAACATCAACTCGCTTTGCTGAGCGTTCTCGTAACTGGGGAACGAACGCTTCTGCGATCCTGCGGAGGTCCCCGCGCGGCCAGCTGGCAGCGGCCCGACGGGGGGCCGCCAAAAACTGGAGGACGCCGACTACTGCTCCACCGCGCGGGTGCTCCTGGGCCAGGGCGCGGCCCCAGCCGGGGGCTGCTGTAGCATGCACCGCAAGACGGGCCTGGGGCAGGGTAGTTCTGCGGGCAGGAGCTCTGCTGTCAGGCGCGCCGCGCCTGTGGCTGCTCCTGCGGAGGCGCCCCCGCGGCACAGAGCAGAGATGTCCCTTTCATGTGGGGGCGCATCTACCAGGACTGCGGCTTGTTCCAGCTCCCGCGTGGGACAGGTGGCGCTGGCGCTGGTCCGCCCCAGCTTGCGCTGTCCGTGGCGCGGCCGACTGCGGACTCTGGTTGGTTCGGCCTCGGCGATGGCCCCGCGGCGGAAGTGGTTCACCTCGCCACCGCTCGGCAGTTTCGCGTGTCCCTGGGGCGCCACGCCACCCAGGCGGCGGCCGCCGCGCTGGCGGACGACCTGGCGCGCGCGTCGGCGGGGGCGGCCTGGGCGGGCGATTGGGGCGGCGGGCAAAAAGGATGTCGTGGTCGTCTACAGAATGGCCCCGGTGGACAGAATCGCCTGCGGTCCCAGGGAGGAAGAGGACGACGACAAGGAGGCGGATTAGGTTGAGGACTCGCGGGGGGGGGAAATTGGTGCAGGAGGAAGGGCGACGGAGGCAGGTGCAACATAATCAGCACCATCAGCAGCAGCGTCCAGTGCCACAGGAACAGCAACAGCAGGTACAGCAGCAGCGGCGGCAGCAACGTGACTGGGCGAGGGCGGTCATGGTGAGGAGGAGTGAAAGCGCCCTCTCTTTATGGTGCTTGCTTGCTCCGCGCCGAGAAGGTGCCAACGAAACCGCACTGCGGGCGTGAAGGCGCCCGCCTTCTCGCGCCTTCTCTTGCGCGCCGTTTTGTCGGGGAGCTGAGGGGATCCCTTGTCGAACTGCGCCCTTCCGTGCGCAGCCAGGCACGGGCGCCGCGCACGTTCAGGGAAAATTTTAGCGGTGGACAGGGTCAAGGGGGATGCGTCGACCCCCAATCGCCCATTGATCGCAGGACCGTGCGGCTTCGCTGTCGGGGGCCCCTTCGCGCGTACCCGTTGCCCGACGCGGTGCACCGAGCCAGCGGGGGTTCAAGGCTGAACGTCGCCAGTGGTTCAGAGACGGCTACTGTGGAGCGTTCTGGCGATTGTATCGGGCCGCCGGTTGTTCAAGGCTGCAGGATCGACGCAGTGTCGTCACGTCAGGAGCCTGCCGTGCCCGCTGCCCGATACAGCGCTGCCTCAGTCGGCACCGCAAGGCGCAGACACTGCCCTCTCTCGCGCTCGCGGCTCGTCCCGGGGGGCTCGCTCGGGGAGCGGCCGCTCCGCCGACCCCCCCGGCAGGCCCAGGCGCCCACCGGCTCGGCTCTTTCTCGAGGCATGGGCCCCCGTGGCCCCGATCCTCGATCCTCGAGCCCCAATCCTCGAGCCCCGATCCTCGGTCCTCGAGCCCCGATCCTCGAGCCCCGATCTTCGACTCCCGATCTCTGTCCTCGAGCCCCGATCCTCGATTCTCGGTCCTCCATCCCCGCTCCTCGCTCCTCGATCCCCGACCCCCGATCCTCGATCCCCGATTCACTCCCGATCCCGTGGCTGGCTCGACGTGTCAGGCCGTCCTGTCAGGAGCCTTTCTGCTCCTGCATCCGGGTGGAGGGTTTGTCCGAAGGGCTTAGGGTCCTCCTTCTCCGACCCCTTTCCCCTCCTCCTCCTCCTCCTCCTCCTCCTCCTCCTCTCCTCCTCCTCCTCCTCCTCCTCCTCCTCCTCCTCCTCCTCCTCCTCCTCCTCCTCCTCCTCCTCCCCCTCCTCCTCCTCCTCCTCCTCCTCCTCCTCCTCCTCCTCCTCCTCCTCCTCCTCCTCCTCCTCCTCCTCCTCCTCGGGTCGCCTACGGCCCCGGGGAAAACCGTGCACCTCCGGGGGCCTTGGCGACGCCCCGCGCGCGCCGCGCGTGCCGTGCGTCGGGAGGGGTGCGGGCCCTGCGCCTCGTGCTGCCGCTGGGCGCCGGGGGGGGGGGGCACGCGCCTGCATGAGGGGAACGATCAGAGGCGACGACAGGGGGCGAATACGGCGCGCAGTCTTTCTTGTTTCAAGGCGAGGTGGGTGGTCCACGTTCGGCCGCCCATCGGTCGCGAGACCCGGGGTTCCTTATCGAAGGTATCCTTATCTAAAGCCTCCACCGTAGCCCAGGGGAGAGCAATACATGTATTCAGGTGCACCGATGATCTATGTCTTCGAAAAGGCTCATGGTCAGTTCCATGCGCATGCTTTAGGGTTATGCTGTTCCAACCTACTTCAGCTTTGATCACCAGACAGAATTTCGAGCACCACGCATGTACCGAAGCCAGAGGGTTTTCATGCGTCGGGCCCTGGGAGGCGATGCTCTTCGACACTGTTTCGACACTCTTCCGGGCGCTCGAAATTACTTTTGTGATGTTGTCCTTCAATACGATGAGAGCAACATAGCATTGCGTGAACGAGCACTGACATAAATATAAAATCTCAGATGTCCGCGCGGATTTCTCGGGCCCGCGCTGGGCCCCCCCGGCGGCGCCGCTGGCGCTGCCCCTGGCGCGCGCCACGCGCCAGGGGGGGGTGATCAAGCGCCGATCCGAGAAATCCGCGCGGACCTCCGAGTTTTGATGTTTAGGTCATTGTTCGTTCCCCGATGCATCGCCCGTCAGGCCGACTAGGCGGGCTCGGAAGCCCCCCCCCTGGCTTTCCCGGGATCTCTTGACCGAGTCCACCGTCGGGATCCGACCAGACCTCGGGCGAGAGGAGCATCGAGGCTCCTCAGGTCGTGCCTGAGCGCCGACGTGTGCTGGTCCACCGAAAGGCCCGTCCATGCGACACTGGCGGCGCAGTTCAGGAGGGAAAAAGCACACAGACTCATGGGAGATCGTCGATCTCCAGGAAGATGTGGGAAAAGATGGGCAGTGGGGGGGAAGACAAACACCCAGAAAATACGGGAACATGTGGGGAAGCGTGGGACTTGCATGTATTTTTTTTGCGTGTCCCTGGGCCCCTTTGAGTAGGGAGGGCCGACGCTGTTTGCGTGTCCCCCGCTCAGCACCGCCCCGCGGGTGGGTGCCCTCCTGCTCGCCCTGCGCCCCGGGAGCCCCCCCCCCCGCTCCCGCCCGGCGGTGGGCGGAGCGGCCTGGCCCGCCGGAGGGCAGAGCCCGCCGGCCGGGGGTTGGGCAGAACTTTCGGGGGTGGACAGAACCCCCAACAGTGACACGCGGATGAGCGAATTGTCCGTCCTCGGTTCTCGAGAGGGCGCCGTGGCAGTCATTTTCCAGGCTTGCGCCCGCCAGGTTCGGGCCTCAGGCCGTTTTCACTGAACCACGCTTTGCTAAAGGGGGGTCTGTCCATCCCCGAAGAGCCCCCACCCTGACACGTCGACTGAGGAACTGTCCGTTTTCGCTTCTCGAGATGGCTCAGTATCGTTTAACCGACCCCCATCCCCATTCCCATCCCTTTGGAGACCCCCACCAAATTACCACCCAGGGGGGTAGACCGGCCAGTGGGGCCCAGGCCACGCCGCTGGGGATGGGGATCGGTTAAACGATACTCAATGGCGCCGCGGCCGTCATTTTCCAGGCTTACGCCCGCCAGGTTTGGGCCCGAGGTCGTTTTCATGAAACCACGTTTTGGGAAAGGGTGTTTTTTATCCATCCCCTAACCGGCGCTGGCCCAGGGAGGCATCTTTTGGGGCCCGAGTTGGCGGCGCGCCAGAGGGGGGGAGGGCGGTTGTGTGGCCCTTCATGGGAGCTCAAAGAGGGCCCCAGAAGTCCGCGCCGTTCTGGGGATTTTGTCCAGATTTGGTCGGATGGGGGCGAAAGCCGAGGGACATCTCGACGACATCTGAACAACATCGGGACGAACTCGGGACGACATCGGGACGACAGGTCGAAAAGGGATGGTCGAAATCTGGATGCAATCCATTCGAAATCACGTTGATGTTGGGGCCTCGGCGGTGGCCGACAGAGGCCTCCGTGCAGGCCTGTCGGTCTGTCGGCCTCCATGGAGGGTGGTCGGCCTGTCGAGGAGGCAGCGGGTCTTCTCAGGAGGGCCTGGAGTCTCCCGCGAGGGCTCCCGAAAAAGGGGCACAGGGCTTCCATCAGCGGCAACATCGGGGAGGAGGAGGAGGAGGAGGATGAGGAGGAGGAGAAGGAGGAGGAGGAGGAGGAGGAGGGAGGAGGGAGAAGAAGGGGGAGGAGGAGAAGAGGAGGGAGGAGGAGGAGGAGGAGGAGGAGGAGGAGGAGGAGAGGAGGAGGAGGAGAGAAAGAAGAATAGGAGAGGAGGAGGAGGGGAGGAGGAGGAGGAAGGAGGAGGAGGAGGAGGAGGAGGAGGAGGAGGAGGAGGAGGAGGAGGGAGGAGGAGGAGGAGGAGGAGGAGGAGGAGGAGGAGGGAGAGGAGGAGGAGGAGGAGGAGGAGGAGGAGGAGGAGGAGGAGGAGGAGGAGGAGGAGGAGGAGGAGAGGAGGAGGAGGAGGAGGAGGAGGAGGAGGAGGAGGAGGAGGAGGGATGGAGGAGGATGGAGGATGGAGGATGGAGGATGGAGGATGGAGGATGGAGGATGGAGGATGGAGGATGGGATGGAGGATGGAGATGGAGGAGGGAGGTGGAGGAGGAGGAGGAGGGATGAGGAGGAGGAGGAGGAGGAGGAGGAGGAGGAGGAGGAGGAGGAGGAGGAGGAGGAGGAGGAGGAGGAGGAGGAGGAGGAGGAGGAGGGAGGGAACATGAGGGAGGATGAGGAGAGGAGGAGGAGGAGGAGAGGAGGAGGAGGAGGAGGAGGAGGAGGAGGAGGAGGAGGAGGAGGGAGGGGAGGAGGAGGAGGAGGAGGAGGAGGAGGAGGAGGAGGAGGAGGAGGAGGAGGAAGGGAGAGGAGGAGGAGGAGGAGGAGGAGGAGGAGGAGGAGGAGTAGGAGGATGGTGCATTCCAAGATCGTCTCAAAGCCGCCCAAAGCACCGTGGTCCGGGCACGGCTGACTTCGAGACAGTGGGTTGTCATGGTTGAGCAGTTGGATTTCGACTGGGATGTGAGATAGTTTGGTTGCACATCGAAGGGCATGTGAGCTGAGCGGGGAGTGCAGCAACATTGTAACATCTGCCTGACGCGCTGGACGCGGCTCGGAATGCCTCGTCGCCTTGCTGGGCTCGGCTCGTTTATGCGTGCCTGTCTCTGCGAGCCCTTGTGGGCCGTTGTTTCTTGGGACGCCCTTTGCCCAAGCTCTCCCCTTGCGGGCTCTCCTCCTCTTCTCCTTTCTTCCTCCTTTGCGTCCCCCCTCTTGGGGGGGTGCGTTGGCTTTGGGCTGGTCCTCTCCGTGTGGCTCTTGGTCTGGGGGATCCTCGTCGCCACTGCTTCCATCCTGCTATTTCTCGCCCGATCCCCGTGTATAGGCTTCGACTCTCTTGCCTCAGGAACGAACGAACAAGGAGGCGGAGGAGGAGGAGGTCCCGCCTGGGCTTGCCCAGGGCTTGCTTGCCGTCGCCGCCCCGTGTCGCATAAGATAGATTGCACCACGTAGATGGCATCACGCATATTGCACCACGCATATTGCACGCTACCGATTGCACGACATACGTTGTACCACATAAACCGCATAACCTAACTAGCACAACGTATACTGCACCACATGTATTGCGCTGCGTTGATTGTACCACGTAAATTGCACCACATGGACTGTACCATATACATACATATACACATTGAGCCACACATGCATGCATACATCAATACATTCGTACGTACACACATACATACACATACATACATACATACATACATACATACATACATACATACACATACACATACATACATACATACATACATACATA